GTTTCCTCCCACTCAGCCCCACGTTCATACATCGTGGAGAGCCCTTCAGGCACCCTCAGGAGGAAGAGACGCCATCTTGTCCCATTTCCAGAGACTGTTCGACGCACACCTCACACACCGACACCCAGCACTGCACCACAACCAAGTGAGCCTACAGTGGGTTCTCCAGAACGCCCCATATCACGTCCAGCACCGGCTCCCGAGGGACACACAACCATCCGTCACACACCCGTCCTTGCACACACACAGGGTCATACCACGAGGTGTGGCAGAGTGGTGCGAGAACCTCACAGACTGGACTTGTGAACTGTAAGGTGGGGAGAGAGAGAGAAAAAAAAATGATTGTGAAAAAAAAAAAAAAAAGGAAAAAGAAGGATTGTTGAATATCCAGAGTTCTGTTGTTAACAATATTTGCCTCCACAGATATGTTTGTTCAGTGTTGTAGAAAGGGAGATGTGGTGATAGCTGTTATGCTTTTACTTTGAAAGCACCTAACAGTATGTATGCGGGCTAAATGTCTTTAGCTTGGAAGACCTAGGGGGGACGGTTGCAGCTCCTGCTAGTTAGGTCGACAATAAAATGTTGCCTGCTCAAAATCTACTGCATCTTATTTACCCACATTACGACACAGCCTCAGCCTCAAAGAGGTGAATACAGGATTACTGTGCAATCACATATTAAGAGTTTTATTCAGTTCAAGTTTAAAAATTAAAGTATATTTGCTTTAACTGCATGTTACTTCTCCTTGAAGAAAGTGTTGTTTATAGTTGATAAATGTTTGCACTTTTTTTTAGTGTATTTCAATCCAATTATGTTTTAAAAATATCTTAGTTGAGTGAATGATCGAAAATTGCTATTATTTGTTTGTCTTGGAAGTAAATTTCGCCTACTTTTGCAAAAGAGAAAATATGGACAATTGATGGTGCCTTGGATAATACCGACTTCTTTTATTCATGTTATGGGTGTTTTTATACAAGGGAAATTTGCTTTTTGTGCCCGTTGAGAATTAAAGTTTACTGACAGAGCCATAAGAAAATGTTGCTTTATTTATCTGATCATATTGGAATGTATTTGTTAGGTTTTCAGTCAATTAACTTTGGTTCAATAAACTATATGAGGTCATTTTTCAATTTTTCAATGAACATTCGATCAGTCCGGCCCTCGGCTTGCAGCAAAATTTTTTATCTGGCCCTCCGTCCATTTGACTTTGACACCCCTGATCTAAGGCTATCCGCTTACACTGAAGGTCATTTTCGATTTTTTTGCAATGTGAACCATACAATTCAATTTCTTTTTTCCGAATCTGACCCAGGTGTCTCTCATATGTAGGCATTTATCAAATTGATATCAGATGCATCTGCAATATGGGCCCTCAGGTCACGCTCATCCAACAGACACGTCATCAAAAGCCAAATATGGGCGGAGCACAGGCGGAGGAGTGTGCTTTGGATAGATTGCTCACGATCGTCCTCGTATCCGTAAAGCGACGAGTAATGGTGTTAATTTTAGATTTAATTAGACACTTGAAGCAAAGAATGAAGTGGACTTTTATGTGGATTGTAATAACTCAGACAGTTCATTTATTATGCGAGTCAATGACATGATGTCACCTTGAGTAGAGGTCTCCATGAAATGAGGACATCGAGGAGCGTCGTCTCATTTTCCCCAAAATATTTCTCCCTCCCCCGCCTCGCTTCCCTGTCAATATCCTAATCTTCTCGATTGACTCTCTGTTGCAAGGTGCAAGCATGTAAACACAGGAGTGAGGTCCTAGGAAGGTACAAAGAGAGAAATGAGGTGAGCCCGAACAGACAGCGCCATATTTACTCGCGTAAAAACTGCGCCATCTGAGGTCACGTTTTGTGCACATGCGTGTCACTCGACATTGTGTTTTGTGCAAATGCCTGTCACTCAGTGGCGGACCCTCAGGGCCAGCAAGGCCTTCTCTGCTGGCCTAAACATTCTCAGAAAAGTAAATTTACTTTTATGTATTTTACGTTATTTTATAATTTATGTTATTTTATTTTCTGAATATGTAAACAAAATTATTCTCTGTATTCTTTACGTCATATTATTTCCACTTAGTTGAGTGGCTTTCAATGTTATTTTAAATAACATTGAAA